TTCGAAAGTAAGTGGCGACTTTTTCTGGGGAACTGTTATGTACTCTACTGAAGAAGAAAATACATACCATATGAAGAAGAAAACCTATATTTAGGAAAAAAAAAAAAAACATTTTTTTTTTTTTTTTTTCTAGTCCCGTCCTGTACATACATCCAACATTTCTGTAACCCCAAACCAGTACATATGGTGATGAAGGGTGTATACCCGATGAGAAGTTTATGCTCCTTATGAACACTAAGTGATAATGATAGGACTTCCAAAAGAGTAGCCACGTACACAATGAGATCTATTCTGTTTATAACTGCATCGACCAGACTTCTTCTTCTTTCCTTTCTTATATTTCTTATCAAATGGAAAAAGGCGTAGTAGGTAAATGGGGTAAAGAGAAGGTATATGGATGGGATGACACAGGAGAGGTAAAAGTGAATGGGGTGCTCCCCGAAGTAACTGTTTTGTCCACTTACAAAATTATATAGAAAAAAATTCACAACGGTAATCGTTATTTTCTTGTAGTAATATGAATCTGCTACCATTCCCAGGAGAAAAAAAATCAGAGTGTATAATATGCCAACTGTGAGCACTTGCTCCATTCGCAGAGCTTCTTCCTTGTGCTCCTTGGCGCTTTTCACCAAGTACAGAAAATATACGCATAGCCAAAATGGGGCGGCGTTCGGTCTTATTAACACACAAAAGGAGCTGCACAACAGGCTCAGCAAAAGATTTCGTATATGTGCGTTTTTTATCTTGTCCACTGCTGTGGTGCCGTTGTGAGGGACACACTGATGGGAGGAGTAATACCCAGTTGTGGAAGCATCATCCTGATTATGTGCCTCGTCCCCTCCAGCATGGTGTGGAGTTCTTCCATTTTCTGCTGCCCCTGCGGGAGTAAACATCCATGCATCATCACTACCGATGATACTGCTGGGAGGGTGGTACTCTTGTGCTAATCTTTCATCACTGCGAAGGACGCCCCTCCGCACAACCGTTGTTCCTCCTGTCGCTTGGTTGCTCTGTTTATCCTTTGCGCTTTCACTCGAACAGGGAATTGTGATTCCCCCCTTGGCGGGAACACCCGAGAGGTAGTTCCTCGAGATAAAGTATACCCCCCATATGTTCAATATGCACTCGAATGACTGAGAGGACGTTCTGCAAATGGTGTAGAAGTGGAACCAGCAGAGGAAGTGGCAAATTAGGACTGCGCACACGGGGGAGATGTTCCCTCTTCCGTTCCCTTCACCACTCACACCGCCACCCACCCCACTGTACAGCTGCGCATACCAAAGCGTAACCAACTTGATCATCCCATAATCGCCTAACGCCGCACAGAGCCCCTGAAAAATCCTTGGGGCGTACAAAACCGCGAGGGGGGTGTCCAACTGTGTGATTTTCAAAACATAAAATAAAATGGCATACGTCAAGGGGTGCACAACAGATCGCAGAGATATACAGGATTCCCACTCCCAGGGTTTATGCCCATAACCGAAAACCCAATAATGTGAAATTTCAATAGACTGAGCATACTCATCTGGAAAGAAGGACGTCTGAACCACTAAGCAGTTAAGCAGCCTGAAAAGGATTAAGTACAAAAGGCACCCCTTCGACTTTGTACACTTCTCTACTACGCCCTGTCCATATTTAAGGAAATCCCCATATATCATTTTTGCACACGCGCCCTCCTCGAAATGAGGGGGTAAAAAAAAGAAAAAAAAAAACAGGCAGTTCTATATATATTTTCCAATTTTTCCCCTTTTTCCATGTGCGGTGTGTGTACACGAAGGAAAAGTAGCTGCGTTCAGTTTGAAGCTGTTCTACCGAAAATTTTCTCTTCTTTTCAGTGCGTATGCCTCATATCGCATGTTGGATAATGTACCCCCCCACCCCATTTGTGTAGTTACTTTTGTGTGCCACTTCAAATGTTCTGACAAGACCAAGTCATATGTTTCTACCTCCTTCGATGATGCATTTTGTTCTCTTTTCTTCATTAATAAGTGTGGACTAAGGAGGCTGCAAAAATATTATTCCTCATGCTTTCTTCTCCGTTTATATTCTTACGTAGTTGATATTTGGCTTACGTCCCTTTTTTTTTTTTTTTTTTTTTTTGCATTATTTTTCGGCGGAGGCAGCTCATTTTTGGGAAAAGGATGGACGGAAACATCTCACCAAGGGTAAGGGCAAAGACACACTGACACTTCATTCTTTGTGTACACTCATGCCGTTACACCCTTCCCCTTCCCCTCAAGTGAACAACGACTCGTTGAGCTTTTCCCACCAAATGACGGAGGGATCCCCTTCGAAGGGGTGAACAAAAAAGGAACACGGAACGTAGCTTCGACAGGAAGCGCGCAGCTACACGTGTTAATCTGAATGAGCAAACGCTGGATGCGTAAAAAATTACGTGGCAGAGGGTAATTTAGCAAAAGTTGATAAATCATGCACATATATACATGTGTGCGTGTTAAATAAGCAAAGTGGAAGGGGTTTAAAACGTGTAACAGAGTAGAAGTGATCGACTTGAAGGCGTGCCAACAACAAAAAAACAAAAAAAAAAAAAAAATGATGACCCTATAAAAGTACCGATCTGTAATGCTGACCCCTCGCATGCGCTCCCTGCATTCTCCTCCGCTATTGCCTTTCCCCAATCCCTTGCTCACACCGATCACTGAAGTAATCATATTTTTGGTAAGACAAAGGCTCGTTCAATAAATTGTCCAGCATGTTATTCATCCCGTCGACAAATTTGCTCCCGGTCTTCTGCGTCTTCGGAATGGCTTCTCTTCCAAAGTCTCTGGGCAAATGTTTGTGCTTTTCAAGCGTCGTGCCGTCTAGCGCAGAATTTATTTTATCTAACAAAGTGCTTCCCGTTTTTAATGTTGGCCTTTCATTTCTCGAGTAAATGGGATCTGGATTATAAAATGGGTGCAAATCATACAAGTTAGTTTTATTGTTCCGCGCTATGCATTTGTAAGAGGACTCTACGATTCCTATCATTACATTTACAACGTCGTCCAAGTAGGTCCCCACAGTTAGGGTTATCTTTTTGAACATATCGAACCTTTTTTTATTTGGAGCTTTAATGGTTATAGGCATTTTTGGTGCCTGAATTATGTACTCATATGAATTATCCATGTGTGAGTTGCAGCCAGGTAGTGAACAGTTGGTTCCTTTTTTTAAACAACAACATTCTTCATTTTCCTCCTTCGCCAAGTAATACATATGTGGGGGCAGGTTTCTGAAATTAGATTCTCCATGGGGGTAGGCGTAATACTCATTTTCGTAGCCTGAAAAAGTTGGGGAACTGCACAAAGAACGGGCACCACTCTTACCGTTGAAGGGGAAATAAGATGTTCTTCCGCTCATTTGAGGACTTCTGCTCGAATAGGTGCTATAGCTATATTGATCTGGGTATGAAATATTTTGACTCATGTGACCATGTCTTGGATGTATGTGAGATAAGGTGCCAGATGCAGAGTACAACTGCTTGTTCGTTCCAGAATAATTATCCTGCGGTGGAAAATTGTTCTCGTTCTGATGGTTGTGCGGGGCCGTGTCAACATCTAGGTAGTCGTAATTGTCCAAATTTATGGTGCTATTCCCTGTATTGTAGGCGATCCTACTGTTGCAGCTGCCACCATAGTTGCCGCTTCCACCAAAGTTGCCGCTACCGAAATTGCTCTGGCTATTCAATTTAGAATGAAACGGGCTCTGCTGACCATTTGCGCTCCTATTAGCAGCGTAGGAAAAGTTATCCCCAGATGAAACATTCAAAAAAGAGTTGTCAGAAGAGTAAGCGTAATTTTTCGACCTGCTTGCGTTATCTAGACTTGAGGTGGTCCCGTAGGTTTGCCCATCTTCTAAAAGGAACTTAACTGAATTTCCATAACCAGTATCATGCGATGGGTCTCTCCCCAGATTGTTGCTAGCAGTACTGACAAGGGTGTGCTGCTTGTGAGGAGTAACTCCTCCTTCCGTTACAATTGTATGTCTGGATGATTTTTTGTTAACCCCCTTGGAACTGGAGGAATTGCTCTTCAAGCTGCTTGATTTATTCATTTTTGACAACTTTACGGTGCTCTTTTGTGTAATTTTTTTTTCATCTGTTCAAATGCTTCCGCTTGAGCGCGCCGGACACAACGCTTTTAAAATAACACAAATGGACACGTCACCACGGTATAATCAAACATAAACACAATTCTGGGCCACAAAAATGACCAAATACAACGAACAAATAAAGGAAGCGAA